CTGTGCATACCCTTTGATTTAGCAATATCATTGCTAGGTCTGTGTTCCAAAGAGATCATTAAAAGGGGAAAAGGACCTAAATGTGCAAACATAGAAAAGCCCTTTTCATGGTGACAAAATATTGGAAACTGAAGGGATGCCCATCAATTGGGGAATGGCTGAACAAGTTGTGGTATATGAATGTAATGGCATACTATTGTGCTATAAGAAATAATGAAGAGGTGGATTTCAGAAAAACCTTGAAAGACATATATGAACTGATGCAAAGTGAAATGAGCAGAACCAGAAAAACATTGTACACCAGCATCAGCAACATTGTATGATGATCAACTATGAATGACTCAGCTATTCTCAGCAACACAATGATCTGAGACAATTACAAAGGACTGATGAAGGAAAATGCTGTCCACATCCAGATAAAGAACTGATGGACTCTGAATGCAGATTGAAGCATACTTTTTTCACTTGTTTTTACTCTTTTTTTTTTCCCCTTTTGATCTGTTTCTTCTTTCACAACTGTGACTAATATGGAAATATGTTTTACATGATAGCACATGTATACCCTATATCAAATCGCCTACCACTTTAGGAAGGGGAGGGAGAAAAATTTGGAACTGAAAATCTTGTAAAAATGAATGCTAAAAATTGTCTTGACATGTAATTGGAAAGAAATAAAATACTATTAATAGATAAAAAAATAAAAATAAACCTAGGAATAAGCTGAGGTTAGTGAGGAAAGTTAAGGACAACACAAAGGTTTTTTTTTTTTTTTTCCCTCTATGGAGAAAAGGGCCAATGGGACAAAATCACTGTTTGGGCAGTGGGTAGGTCAATGATAATGGGCAACAGCGAAGGAGAAATGTTTAGTTCAAGTTTATTTGGTTTTCTCTAATGAAGAGAATGATCTTTGCACTGGACATGACAGAAAAAATGTGGCAAATAGGCAGTTGATACCCAAGATAAGTAAAGCTGAGCAGCCAGCTGCCTGCACTAAGTACCTACCGTGGGCCAGGTGCAGTGCTTCGGATAAGCAAAGAAAGGCAGAAACATGCTCAAAGAGCTCACAGTCTAATGGGGAAGGCAACATGCAAACAACTAAGATGTAGACAGGACAAATTGGAGATAATCAGAGGGAGGGCATGGGCATGGAGAAAGGCTTCTTGTAGGAGGTGGGGTTTTAGCCAGGACCTGAAAGAAGACAGGGGAGCCAGGAGGGGCAGATGAGGAGGGAGGGCATTCCAGCTTTCTGGGGGCGAGCCAGAGAAAATGTTTTGAGTCGGGGAGATGGAGTGTCTTGTTTGAAGAAGTCAAGAAGCTGGTGTCACTGATTGTAGAGTGTGTGCAGTGGTATGAGGAGAGGAAAGGTAGAGGCCAGGTTATGAAGGGCTTCCAAAGCTAACAAAAATATATTTTATTCTAGAGGCAATAGGGAGTCACTGGGATTTACTGCTTCAAACAGACTGGAGTGGGGCGAGACTTGCGGCAGAGATCAACCAGCAGGCTCTATTACCATAGTCCAGAGGTAGGGTGATAAGTGTCTGTACCAGGGTAGTGGCCATGTTAGAGGAGAGAAGGGGGCAGTTATGAGAGCCCTTATGAAGGTAGAATTGACAGGAGTTGGCGACAGATTGGATTTGGAGGGGTGGAGAGAGGTGAAAAAGAAGCTGAGGACGACACCTAATTTACAAGGAAGATGGTGGTAGCCTTGACAGTAATTGGGTGGTTGATCGCTGTCCTTTGTTCTCAAAGAGGACCAAAATGGCATCCCAATGTTAGACTCAAGTTACAGTGTGTTCCACCATGGCTGATCAAACCAACTCGAGCTCAGAAGGCTCTACCACAGGTTGGGCACAAATAGAACATAGAAACATTTGGAGTGGAGATGGCTCTAAATTTGTGCATCTCACATTTCTTTTGAGTTACTGCAATTCTGCTTTGCTCATAGGGCATAGCGCCTTCTTTGATGTGGGTATGCTATGCTGAGCGGTTCTGTGCCAGCATCTCCCATGTCACACAATCAATTCCAAAGTTCTCAGAGAGACCTTCAGAGTGTCCTTAGGTCACTTCTTCTGACCTCCACGTGAGCACCTGCCTTGTATGAGTTCTCGATAAAATAGCCTTTTCAGCAAACGTGTGTGTGGCATTTGAGCAACCTTGACAGTAATAGGAAAAGTGTGGAAGAAGGGAGGGTTTGGGGGAAAAGAGAATGGGTGCTGAATTTAAGATATCTTCATGGCATCTCTCCTATCAGTGAACTGAAGTCAACTGGCCCAGATGAGCCATATTCTCAGTCACAAGTGACTGTTGAGCCACTTTTAGTCATATTTGAAAGATCATGGAGAAACCAAAGAGATAGAGGTTATTAGATAAGAAAATAAATCACTGTGATTACACGACATTAAAAAATTTCTGCACAATTAAAATCAATGCATTTAGGATAAGGGAAGTGGCCAAATGGGAAAAAACAAACTTTGTATCAAATTTCTCAGATAAGGATTTGAAATCCAAAATAATAGGTAACATACAGACATATGTATGCATGCACATATAGAAAATAAACATGATATATAATAAAATAAACATTACATACAAACATACACAAAACCAAAATCCATTCCGCAGTAGATAAGTGGCTAAAGGGTGTGAACAGTTCTCAAAAGAATTACAAGCTATTAATAACCATATGAAAGAATGCTCTAAATCACTAATAATAAGAGAAATGCAAATCAAAACAGCCCTGAAGTTTCACCTCACACCCAGCAAATTGGCAAAAATGCCAAAAGACGGGAGTCCTCAATGTTGGAGGGGCTGTGGGAAGACAGGCATATTTATATGTTGTTGGTGGAGGGGTGAGTCCTTACAACTATTTTGGAAAGCAATATGGAATTATGCAAATAAAGGAACTAGAATGTCCAAAGTCTTAGACCCAGAGATTCCATTGCCGGGAATATATACCCCAAGGAGGTTACTGGTAAGAAGATAGAGCCCATATGCACCAAAATGTTTACAGAAGCACTTTTAGTAGCTAAGAGCTGGAAAATGGAGTATGCCCATTGATTGGGGAATGGCTAAACAAGTTGTGGTTATGACTATAATGGAATATTACTGTGCTTTGAGAAGCATGGAAAGACTTTGGTGAACTGATGCAGACCAAAGAAAACAACTGATAAACAACTGACTACAAGTGAATGGAAAAGACAACCATCAGACAATCAAAAGAACAAAGAACAAGCCTGGCCCCAAAAAGGAGACATGAAAAGACAGCCCCAACCTGGTCCTCTACAAAGATGGGAGGGCCACTGGTATGGCATACTGTTCAGACTTTTTCGGTGTATTATTTTGTTGGTTTTTTTCCTTTTCCTTTTTTTTGCCCTTTAAAATAATATTTGTTAGAGGCAGCTAGGTGGTACAGTGGATAGAGCACTGGCCCTGGAATCAGGAGGACCTGAGTTCAAATCCAGTTTTTCAGACACTTACTAGCTGTGTGACCCTGGGCAAGTCACTTAATCCTGATTGCCTTTTAAAAAAAAAAAAGTCTTTGCTACATGTTAACTGCTCTCTGGGAAGGGGAAATGGGAGGGATTCTGGGAGAAATTCTGGTGTTCTAAAAACAAGACAATTCAAATTTAGTTTTAAAAATAACTCATGGAAAATAGAAAGGGTAGCACAGAATAGGAAAAAGGCAAATGTCCCAGTTTAAAAAAAAAAGTGAATAGTCTATAAACTATAGAAGGAAAGGAAGAAGTATCAAACACCTACTATGTGGTCAGCACTATACTAAATACTACCAATATTACTCCATTTTCTAGAAAAATTCTAGAAAAGGAAGCAGTGCTAACTAGGGTCCAATTGTCATTAAATCACTCTTGCCTAACTTTTTTTCTCAGTTACTAAAACTAGTATGTCAGGGAAATATCATAGTTTACCTAGATTTTAGCAAAGCATTTGACAAAATGACATAGATAAAGGCCTAAGCGGCATGCTTTTCCAATGGATAAATGAGAAAGCTGGGAGGAAAGGCTTATACGCTGTGTAACAGGGTCCCAAAACACACTGCCAAGTGCCAGTGATGGGCCATATCTGTTCAACATAGTCTCCCACTTGGGCATCAGAAAAATCTGTCACATGAAGGAAGATGGGGGAGGTGAGGTTAGGACTTTGTTGATAAAAGATCCCAGGGTTTTAGTACATGTTAACATCGCAGATAAAAAACAGGTAGACATAGGGCTGGAAGGGACCTAAGAGGTCCTTCTTGGGCTCTACTCAGGCCACAGTTGGATTACTGGTTTCATTTCCAGTGAATTATTTCCTTTTTATCCAGTGCCTAACAGCTTCTTTTGTACAGGCTTATTAGCATACTGTTCTCTCTCCCACTCCCCCACTGGACTGTAGGCTCCTTGAGGGCAGGGACTGTCTTTCGGCTCTTTCTGCATCCTCAGCACTTAGCATAGTGCCTGGCACAAAGTAGGTGTTTATTAAATGTTTATTGGTTGCTTTTCAGTTTAGGAAGGGCGTTGATGAGCTCCAGTGGGACCTGAAGAGGGCAGCCAGGACGGTAAACGGCTCCGAGTTCATGTCAGGAGGTTCAGTGGCAGGAACTCTGGGGATGTTTAGCCTGGAGGAGAGAACTCAGGTGGGAACATGCTAGGTCTTCAAGTTCTTATAAAGGGCTACATGTGGGAAGGGGCTTAGGTTTGGTCGGCTGGCCCCAGGGGAAGGGCTAGGAGCACCAGAGGCAGCTTTAAGCTAACAGCGAGGGCTGGCTCACCGACGGAGGCCTTCCCACAGATGCTGGCGACCTCAGAACAGTTCCCACTCAGCCAGAGCACTGCGCAAACGCAGCCTCCTTTGTCCTCACAAGATGCCGTTCCTGCCCACTCCGAGCATCTGTAATGTGAGGTCAAGTCACTGATCAAATGGTAACAACCTAATAATGACCAGCATGAGCCTTCAGAAGCCCACTCCTCAACCCCCCAATCGTGGACTCAATTACAGCAACATCATTTCTTACAAAAAGCTTTATTTAAACCTGTTCAGGAGGTATGACAAGGTGACGGTGATTCCGTGTTTCCACAACGATACAAGAGGCGTGAGTGCCTGAGGCGAATGAACACTGGAGTGAGGTAACAAGGGCCGGCTCGGGGACCCTGGCCCACTGCCAAGCCCAGAGTAGGCATTTCCTCGTGAGGTCACCCACCCCAGAAAATCTAAATTCCCTTCAGAAATAAAAGCTTTGCTAAATGGCCGGCACCTGCTGGAGCCTTCCATGATCATCTGGTTTTGAGATCTCAGCTACACGGGTTCCCAGAGTCACCGGTCACCTTAGGCCCGACTGGACGATTAAAAGCAAGTCCAAGCAACACCCAGACCTAGAAGAAATGGTGCACTGGTCGGCCCTCTGGACAGCCTGGCCGCAGCTGGGATGGGTCCCTGAGGGGCCCTCTTCACATGATCCACACCCAAGTGTTGGCAATTAAAAAAAGAAAATGCCCTTACAAGCCTGTGTCATCGCATCTCTACTATATGCATCCCCCCACCCCAGAAATTTTGGGTTTAAAACACAGCATGCTCAGTGTGCATGAGGGCCAGGGCCAGAGCTTCCTGTGCAAGTTTGCCGCCAGCCAAAGAGGGGCAGACCTACCGTCTGCACTGACCGTCGCATCCATGGACAAGTGACGCAAAAGTCACTGGTAAGGAGAGCCCCTATCGTCGGGCCAGCTACCTGAGACAGAGCAGCCCACAACTGGGGTCTGGGCTGAGCTTATTCAAATTTTTTAGGATGGTGCCTGGTGCCTGTTAGAGCGTCTGTCTCCGACCGTGCACACAGGTTCCCTGATGCTTTGGGCTGCGGCCAATCTTCTGCGCCTTCCTTTACGCCCTCCCCATCACGGTAAATGCCAGAAGGTTTTATGGTCAGTCAGTGGCCACAGCGGCCGGCCTGGCTCCTCAGGAGCTGCCTTGCCAAAAGGAGATCTTCAAGCAGGGCGAGTGGAAAAAGAGCGTGGAATGAAGACCGTGTGGGGTAGTTCCTGTGGTGCGAAGCTGCAGATGGGTCAGGTCATGCCGCGCCATCCTCTCTGCTGCTCCCCAGTGCCCGCAGCCTCCCGGGGGCTTCATATCGGCTTGTACAGCAAGGTGGTGACGTACTTTTTCTTGTAGCGGTGGGTGGCGCTGAGCACCATCACGCCGTCCTTGATGGAGAGGGCGTACAGGTGGTTCAGCATGACGTGGTTGGGCTCAGGCAATAAAGCCGGGTCACACTGTGGGAATGCAAAGGGGAAAGCCACATCAGACCTCACAAGGGTCTGGGTGGGAAAGGGGCATGCTTTCTCCTCCCTGGCCCAGAGAGCAGAATAAAGAGGGGAGACAGAGAGAGAGAGGGGAAAGGAGAGAGAGTGAGTGCATGAGAGAGAGGAGGGAAGGGGAGAGAGAAGGAGAGGGAGAGACAGAGAGAAGGGGGAAAGAGAGAGAGAAAGAGGAGGAGAGACACAGAGGAGAGAGAAAGAAGACATGAGAAGAGGAGAGGAGAGGGAAGGCTGGAAACCCCTTCTCTTTAAACGACCTCTGAAATGACTGAAATGTCTCTTATTCAGAAAAGTGGCCAGGGAATGTGGACAGCAGGGTGACTGCTGTCCTTTATGCCATGGACATCATGGGGGTGGAACACAGAAGAATAGGCCCTGGCCGGCTTTAAACTTTTAGGCTTCCGCTCTCTCACACGCTGGAGGAACATGTGCTAAGGAGGGTGTCGGAACAGCAGCTAGCAGGGAAAGTAGGGCAGCAGGCACCGAAGTTCGGACCCACTTGTGCGGTGTGTCCAACATCAACTTTCCACCAAGGAAAAACCCTCCCAACACTGGCCTCTCACCTGGAGAGAAAGCAGACTTTTTCAGGGCAAGGTCCAAAGTGAAAGAAATCGCCCTGCTTCTTCCTTCCTCTCAGGGGCAGTTTTGGTGACTTTCACCTCTGTGGGACCCGGGAAAAGTCAACAAAACCCTGGGTTCTTGACTCCCAATCTGGAAGATGCCGTGCTAAGTGCACAGGCTAGCTCTGGATGCGTCAGAGACCAGTCTCATCTCACAAGGTGGACTCAGCTAGACAACTAAACTAGTAACACTTCTTCCTAACAAATTGCAGGGTTGCCCCGAATGATGAGCGAGGCCCCTTAAATCTCGGACGAACTGGGAGACAAGCTTGTCTTCTTGGTGACGGTGGTGGGCAGAGAAGGGCGAGGGGTCTCCTGATACTATCACCCTTCTGGCTCCAGGGCTGTGGGGCACAACTTATTCCAAGGACAGAAAGGCCAGGTTATTTCCACACAGTTAAACATACAAAAAGAGAGTTGAGTTGAATAACAGGAGTTATCCCGCAAAATGAAAACAAAAAAGGTGGAATAAATGTCTTGTATCTGGCAGCTAAGCGGCCCTTGGCTGCTGGAGTGCCTTAGTTGACCTGCTTCTCTGCCAGGGGAGTCTGAAGAGAATGGAAACCCCCAGCCCTGCACTAGGCACAGAGCAGGAGGCCAACCAGCGGGCAAGAAGCAAAGCTTCTGTACTCACCGAGATGCCAGTGTCCTTGTTCAGGATGACCTGGAGCAGGTGTGGGGGAAGGATGGGGGGGGTTTTGAAACGTTCCTCTGGTTTACAAGCATAGGGCTCCTGATGGTAGGGTCCTGGCGGCGAACTTGACAGCTCTGCCCAGAAGAATGTGATAGAAAGACATTTAATTTAAAAAGCTGATATTTAGGAGAAAAGCTCATCTAACTGATAGTTCCACTGGAGGATTGGGTCTTTCCTTGCCTTCTCTACACCACAGAGTTAAAGGGAACGAAGGTTCCCAAAGAACCAGGAGAGAGCCCTTTAGACTTTGGTTAAGGGATCGACATACATTTCAGAAGTGGCCGCTGAGGCCCTGGCGTCAGGGCACAGATGGCAATGGAGTGGGCCAGGCAGCTGCCACCCTCCCTACTCGGGCGGATCACGACCTGGGCTCCTTCTGGGGAGCTCCAGCAAACCCTCTGGTGAGATTCAGGCAGAAACCCCCAAGCCAGAGGTGCCAGCTGTGGCACCAAGGTGGCCACTACTGTCAGTGCATTTGAAAACTTTTCTTCTATAGAAGACTTTATGAAATGCTTCTTTTTGTTCTTGTATTCGATGTTGTTCTAAGATAATCTGGATGACCTCTGAGGCCCTCCCCTCCCACCAGGGATTCTGTGGTGCCACCGAGGCGCCCTGTCGTCAGGGGACGATACCACGGCCTCGTCACCACCACCCTTCCACCTCTGAGTGGGAACGGGGCCATGCCGATTGTCAGGGTCAGGCCTGACGCATCATCCTCCTCTGTAAGCAGAGCGCCAATTCACTTCCTTGGGAGCTTGCTCATACTCGTATAACCTCACCACAAGCACAGCAACGAGACGCCAAAAAAGGCATTAAGTATAGAAAACTGAGCAGAAGAGAGGGGAGAGCGCTGAGAACCCAAAAGGTTTGCTGAACACTGGTTAAGGCAATCAATATTGAGAATATTTCACTGGAGGTAAGGAATTTTAAATTACGTCACCTAGTAAGTATAGGGGGCAGATTTAGGGGAGCCCCTCCACAGAAATCAGAGCAAGCAAGCCGCTATTTGCATAGATGAGAAATAATGAGCAGCCGTTTCCATTTCAGTCATAAATGCCTTCCGACCTGGATAGTTGCTATTTCTTAGGCTTTCAAGTCCTGTTTGAAATCACACTAATTAGCTACACTTTCTCTCACCAGAGGCCACTGCAATTTTCAGATTCAATGAAAATAACAGGAGCCCACGATGACAGATCCTAATGATTATGATTCATCCAAAGCATAAGAGTTAAACACAGTACAAACTCACTCCTAGGGAGACGAGTTGCTGGAAGAAGCTGGCTCAGTAAGTGATCCCCATCATTGGCTAAAACCCCCACGCAGGGAGGGGAAAGGCAGTTTGTGTAACGACTCAATTGCACACACCTCCAAGCCTGAACTTATAGGTTCTATTTGTGTTCCGAGGTCATTTGCCACCCGTGAAGAGAGCCTGAGAATGCGGCACACAAACAGTCTCCATGCAAACAATCTCCTGGGCACTCCTATACACGAGGCTGCCGTGGTTCCAGGTGGCCAGACGCGTGGGAGTCACATCCGGCCCCAGAACCTGTCCTAGCCATTGTTAGGCAGGAAAAGTTATGCTTCACCAGCTTTTTTCCTGGGACAGGCAATTTCCTGTTCCCCATAGCAATTCTGAAGCTACTAATTTACAACCCAAATAAGGCCAGCTTAAGTGAGTGGCCTGGAAACCGGAATCCCCCAGTCCCCCTCAGACACACATTGGTTGCCCAGGTCACCCACCCTGGTTGCTCAGCTCCAGCCCCAGCCGGCGGCGGCGGTAGCAGCAGCAGCAGCAGGCTGGGGGGCCCATCCTGAGGGTCAGTCTCTTCAGTCTTGTCCCCAGCTTGAGACTGACCACTACTACTAGTGCTTAGTGTCTGCTTTTATTGGGCCAGGTCTCCAGGGTGTAGTGAACAGAGAGATAATAAGAGAACAGAAATGAGAGTGAATCAGCACTAACACTAGTTTGAGAGTCAAAGGAAACAGGTTCATACTTTGGTTTTTGAGCTTAATGGTTGAATGACTGTAGGGAAGTCATTTCACTTTCCTGGGCCTCAGTTTCCTCTTTGGCACAAAAAAGGGCTGAGCCAGAGATTGGTCACAAAGCCTTTTCCAGCTCTAAATCCTATGATCACAAACAAAATAATTACCAGTCAAAGCAGGGTGGATTTCAGCAAGTGACCACACCCATTCTTTGAGTGTTCAATGTTCCCTGCATCTTGGGCACAAACCTAGGACTGAAGCTCAAAAACAAACCAGACGGCCCTTGGCTACATGGCTGCGTTCTCGAGCTCCCCCCTCCACGCGTGGAGCAGAAAAGAACCAGGCTCCTACCGGACACATCGGAGCACTTCTGGGAATCCACCATTAAAGCGTCAAACACTTCGAAGTCAGTTTTCTTCACCTGAATGACGTTGTTAATTGTGCCAAGCTGGCTGGTCACTACTGGCTGGGAAGAGATAGACAGATAGAAATCACAAAGTGGAAGGTCTGCTTTAGAGGACATGGAATCACAGCTGTGTGTCCTCATCTACTGGCTAAACCATTGGCTTGTCTTAATCGGTGCCGTCACCCGGCTCAGCCAAGGAGGGAAGCCTTGGCCACGGCAGCCTGAGGACTGGGGGCTTTGGGCGCAGAAGCCTATAGGGAAATGTCTGGTTCTCAGAGTGAAGCCATCTAGAAAGGAAGGAAATCGTACCTCAGAGGCATCGTAGGTCCACTGACCGTCCACAAAGAACTTGTACTGATGTTCTCCTTCTGGCAAATCCAGGATCGCTACAAAGTTGTTGTGGCTGTGAGGTCAAAGGAAGCAAATGATTTTGGTTGGCTTCATCACCCCCTGCAGCTCCCCCACTTGTAAAAAGAAAATGCTCTCGGTGGCTTTACAGAACCACCCTTGCAAAAGAAATGAAGAGCACCCCCATCCAAAAGAAATCTCGGCTGTGGCAAGGATGGCATTTTTAGGAAGCTCAAGACCATTCAGTACAGTGTTTTCAACACAGATCAGAGCCGCAGGACCTAGCAGAGGGTCCAAAGCACCAGACACCATTCCTAACACACAAACACCACGAATGAGATGCCTTAATTTATGTATTTCGTTTGGGGACTGCCAGACACTGCCAGATGCCAGAATCTGTCTTCTCCTGCACCTGCCTGAAAGGCAGCGAGAGCACCCAGTGCTGAAGAGGGCCACACATGGGAAGACCGTGCTCCAGCTGGACAGCCAGACTCGCCAGGATGACGGGGGTGGGGCAGGACTCATGGCCAGTTTGGTTGGAAGAGAGCAGCATGAATATAGAAACCAGTTTAGGAAAAGGGTCCCGCACCAAGAGGCCATTTCCATCCTCTTCTCTCAAGGCCACATGGGACCCCTTATGTCATGAATCTGACTGGGTCAACCACTATTTTTCTCTCCTGACATCACAAAGGCCATGGTTCCCATTAGAGAATGTTTTTTTATACACAACTGAAGTCAGAATCTACTGGGTCAGTGCAGGCCACAGAAAGCCTTCTTGGATCCCTGATGACTACTATTTGCCAGAAGCCTTTTTTTCACTTTTCTAGGAGCCGTCCTAGTTGAAGAATATATGTTCCTATATCCAAGTGAAAGAAGTTATGAATGTTTAGGGAACAGGAAGTGTTCCTCTAAATACAAAGACGTTATTCCTAAGCAGAGTTGGCTGGACCCCAGAAACCTGGGTGTGACCTCAATTACCACACAAGCTATTTTCCTGCTCAGTCTCTTCAGCCAAAGCTGGCATTTACAGAGTTCCATCAAAAAAACAAGTAAGTCAACTTCCACAGAATTCAAATATAAAAACTGCCCGGAATACCTTCTTGTGAGTGGTAGTTTTGTCCAGTTATTGAAGGATCCAGATAAATAAACCTCTTTTCCTCCCCCTGTCCATCGAAACACAGTCGGACGAGCTTGGGTGGGAGTTCTGTCGTTCACTTCTAGATCATGCTGCCACGCAAGGAACTCCTCCTTTTCTGGAGCCTAGAAGCATAGGAATTTAGAGCTTGTTAAGTCCCCTACTAAAAGCAATACCAAGCAAAGAGAGTTTTTCTACTTTTCCTAAGGGAAAACACTTGGAACAGTTTGAAAAGAGAGACCAATCCCAAGACTGGTTTAATTATTGCCAATTTACTATCCTAAGTGAGATTTATGGGACACAAATTTATCAGTTACTATCCTAGAGCCATCAACTCATAAAAAATATTGGTTATGCAATACACCAAGGAGTTTAAGGTAAAAAAGTTCAGAAAACTTTTGAGTCACAAAGGGTAGGTAAGAGGTTTTAAAAAAAAAAAGGACAACTGTTTTGCAGACTATTCACTTAATATTTTAACTAAGCAACTAGCAACTGCTTTTATACCTCTTACACTGGACTGTCAGCAGCCCAGAGAAATCTGAAACTGCAGAAATTTTGGGCTGCGAATGTGCTCAGAGACTCCCAAGGAAATCAGCTATCAATCATTGCTAAATGAGGAGGTAGCTTTGGCTAACAGTTATTTGACAGAGGTCTTTGACTTCCAATTAACACCTAGGACCTTTTAAAAGAGAATAGAAACACTTCTCCTTTGTAGCGAGTAACTGCTAAATGAGTTTTGTACCATACTACTAAATGGGCACAGGATATAAAGCAGCAGGTCTTCAGTCAGGAAGCCCTGAATTTAAATTCAGCCTCTGACACTTACTTGCTGTGCTACCCTGGGCAAGTCACTTAAGCTCGTTTGCTTCAGTATCCTCACCTGTAAAATAAGCTGCAGAAGAAAATGGCAAACCACTCCAGCATCTTTGCCAAGAAAATTCAAAATGAGGTCAGGAAGAGTCAGACATGACTGAAACGGCTGAATAACAACTACTCAACGGACAGAACTTTGTTCTATTTAAAAAGCAAAACCAAAAAACGTTTCCACATCTCTTTCCCCCCACTCCTAGTACTGGGTAGCTGGGATGTCGGGATGTTGCTTTTAAATGGCTCATCCTCCCCTTCCTCCACTGGAATGAGAACAAACTTAGAAGCTCCACGGGGAGACAAGCACGGATTTAGAGCCAGAAGAGCCAAGGTTCTAACCGTGCCTCAGAGGCTTTACTAGATGGGTGACCATGGGCAAGTGACAACCTCTCTTAGGCCGTTTCCTAATACGTAAAATGGAGAAATACCCCCTGGTTGTGCCTCTCTCACAGACAGGGTTATCGTGAGACCACGAGGACATACTGGGCATGCTGAAAACCTTCAAGGAATAGATTTCAAACTGTGATAAGCAGACTCCAAGCTAGGGAATGTGGAAATAAGCAATTAGGGTTAGCCCAGTAATCGAGAAATGTACAAGGCTGAGGTGGGAAGGAACTCTAACTCCTAAGAGGCAAGTGGTACAGGTGTTTTCTACAATTTCTAGAAGAGAGAATTCAAGTTTAGTGGCACAGACTTCCCATCACCCTGCTGGTAAATGGGCCTAGAACTTCGATCTTCTACCTTCAGGTGCAGTGTTCTTTCTATTACCCCTACGCAGCCTCTACCCAATGGTTCTAAAGAATAATTAGGGCATATGAAGGGTATAGAGGTAGTTGGATGCCAACAGAGTACATATATTTAAATACTAAATTCATCCCCTTTCCTCAGGCTTACTTTTCCATCAGCCTCCTTACACTGTATGAAAAGAGCTGCTAGTTTAGGATATACTGGATTTGGTATCAGTTGCCAAAGCCACAAAATGTCACCATCACCTTGAAGATGTCACAGCAGAGTTGGCAGGGAATGACTTTGAACAAGGGCATAAAGGGGCACTTTGATTAGTCTTTGAAGAGCTAGGAGTTCAGAACTCTAAATGGAAAAACAAAAAGCTACATGGAAAAACTTCACTCCTACTTGCCTTTTCAAGAAGCAAATTAATTTTTCTTGGTTCTCTTTTCTAGAAAAAAATATTTTCTTTAAGTTTTATTTTATTCTGAACTAAACAAACAGAACGGACATATGTATATACATGGGAGAACACAAAAAGAGGATCGACTGCACCTGAAATTTTGGGCCCCAATTATGTACAACTTGTTTTTCTTTTAAGTACAGAACAAAATCTACCTGGGTAGCCTCAAAGCTGTCCTCCTTGTCTGGCCTTCTTTCTGTTCTTTTCTCTCCGTTGAACCAAAAAGATACCTCAGTGACCCTCTTTTCTTTCAATAGTAAAAAGGTTTTCAAGTAGAAATAAGGTACCACAGATAGCCTTGTAAGCCTGTTGCTAAGTTAATAAATAGCGAGACCTAAGACAATAAAGTCAACAAAGGAACTTGTTTGCAAAGAGAAGGCATGGAGATGTGAAACTGATTTTACAAAGTAGCCCAGACTGGCTCAGTAACTGCTAGCTTTACCATCTTAATTAAGCAAGAGTCTGCAAATCCGTCCCAGGGCTGTCTAGTGGCCTTTGTGGTGGTAACTGTTCCTGTTCCCTCCGGGTGACTTTTTTTTCCCATCCCAGTAATTACATCTACCTCCTTTGATTGCTAAGAGCTCCTGTGTCCCTTGCATTCTGTGAATTTTCCCAGCCCGGTAGAGACAGGTGGGGGAGGCAGAGCTTTGGCGGGATCCCCAAGGAGATGGGAGCCCAAAGTGGACAAGAAGTGGAAGGACCGGCTCTTCTCTGTACCTTGATCTCTTCGGAGTGGAAGAGGTCGGCATCCTCGGGGCTGTCCATCATGATCTTGGGCCTCTCCCCCCCCTCCTTGGTGGTGATGGCTCCCCCGGTGCTGTCTCGACGGTGGGTCTTGTGGCCCCCCTGCCGCTCTATGCTGGCCCTCTCGCTGCTTGTGTTGCCCATGGTGAGAGTCTGGGGGACACAGAGAGACCAGGAGGTGGGCACTTACCCCTAGGGGTCTCATGGTGTGGGGGGAGGGGCTGGGAGGGTGGTTACAGGGGAAGGTCCTCTCATAGCTGGGGGGCAGGGAGGGTCACAAGGAGGGGCGGTTTGACCCTGGGGAAAGGGGGAGGGTGGTTCCATACCGAGGGGCTAGCCCCTCACCCCAAGGGGGCACGCGGACCCACATCAGAAGCAGGGCTCTCACTCTGGGGGGGGCAGACTCGGGGGGGGACCCCAGCACTAATGAGATTCACCCCAAGGCTGGGACCTGGATGCATAACACGGCAGGAGGGAGATGGGGGGGGGCTGACACGGACATGTCACACACGGGGTAGGGAAACACACCCTGGGGGCATCTTGACACTGACTGGGGACCACGGGGGGGGGCGCTGGTCACACCAACGGGACGGGGGTCCTGACACTAACAGGTCACACGTGGGCGAGGGAAACCCACTGACCCCCCCCCGACGCGGGGGGGGGGGCGTCCTGACTCTGACTAGGGACCACCGGGGGGAGGGGCCTGACACTCACGTGCGTGTCACACCCAAACTGATGGTGACCCACACTCACACGCGCAGGCCCCTCACACTGACAGGGGCACACGCGCACACACAGACACGTGCGAACACACACGTACACACACGGCGGGACCTCAACACCGACGTGTCACATAAAGAGGACGCTCGCGAGGCGGAGAGAGGGAAGGCCGCGGGCCCTGGGGCCCCGCGTCCCTCCTCCGGCTCTTTACCTGTTCCTGCCGCTGCCGCTGTCGCTGCCGCCTCTAGAACCGAAAAAGCCCCCGCCAGACTACGAGGCGACGTCTTCTTCCCGTTGAGCAACTTCCGCTTCCTGTCTCTCCGTGGGTCTTCCAAGCCACAAAGAGCTACAGCGGCGGAAGGCTTGCGACGGCCCCGAGCCGCCACTTCCGTTTCCGGCTGTGAGACGCCCTAAGGCGGTACCGGGGGAGGGTAGGGCGAGCAACATAGCACTTCTGCTTCCGTTTTAGGGAGGAGGGGGAAGCTGCGTGAGGGCGGGGGCGGAAGCTGCGCGAGGGCGGGGGCGGAAGCTGCGCGAGGGCGGGGGCGGAAGCTGCGCGAGGGCGGGGGCGGAAGCTGCGCGAGGGCGGGGGCGGGGTGAAGAGTGGGGCTCCTTATCAGGCCTGCGCAGTCCTGCAGTCCAGAGGCAGGTCCCGGAGTGAGCCTCTGAGCCTGCGCACAGATACGTTCCCGCCGCCTTTACCCAGATGTCTCTCACATTTCTACAGGAGCGCCGTTACGTGGCGCTGCGCATAGAACTCTGGGCGTGGAATCAGAACAAGTGTGAGTTCGAATCCACGTTCAGACCTTCACCCAGCATTGTGACCCTGGGCAGTTTCTTTAACCTCTCCAAGCCTCAGTTTACCCATCTGTGAAAACCTCTTTCTCCAAGAGTTGTTGTGAGGATCAAAATTTGATAATAGCAAACTTGAAAGCATTACGTAAATGCTTGCACTTAATAAAGTGCTCTCTTCCCCATTTTACAGAGGAAGCTACAACACATCTCATACCTGATATCTAATTTGTACCTTTTCCTAGGAAAAAACGTGCTCGGTTTTTACCTTTGCAAAAATGAAGATATTGGACTCTATGGCTTCCAAGATCACTTCTGTGTCTAAAGCCCAAGATTCTGCTAAGCTGACCATACTCTCCTCTTTTAGGGGAGACCCTAAGCATGAACTGCATCTTGGCTTTATTTAAGATATTTCTGCTCCCTGAAACTCTGGGATGGGAGCAGACTCAGATTGTGCCAGAAATACCAGATCCCCTTTCCTAGGAGTCAGCCCCCCACTCAGGACTGAATCTAGAACTCTACATGAGTAGAGGGGGGTAACATTAGTATCAGGGCCAGGATTTCAGACTCCAAATTCAGTGCTTCTTCCTCCTTTAAACAGTGGCACCTACCTTGCCCAAGTGGGCCTGGCTCGACTCCTTACAGAAGGGTGGAGGGATTTTAGTGCTGGGAGGGCCTTGAGAAACACCCAAGCCCATCACCCCTAATCTGTGGACTCCTGGATTTTCAGTTCAGCAAAACACACATCCTTACTCATTAGTGGTAGATAAGTACGATAACTTCTGTAGTATCCATTAAATTTAACTACAGCGATCTCTTCCACATTGTGATTCTCCCCAACGTGGTTTTGATATATCACGGGGAGGCATGAGAAACTAAATGGGAATTTTGGGGGGAGTTTTGTGGAAGCTGCAAACAATGAACAATGGCCAGCAGATGACATTGAAAAAGTGAAGAAACTCAGAAATGTGTAAAACATGTGAATAGTATTGTATAATATCAACATATTATATCTTTTAATACCATAATAATTCAGACTTCTCTGGTATGAAGGGAGAGCAAAAAATTTTTGCACAGATTTTCCAGATCATGCAGTGCAGGGAGAGGGGAAACAGGGAGATTCCGTGCCCCTAACTCCTGTGGTGTGGAAAGGATAACTGTACTACAGACGAGGGCCAATGATAGGTGTTAGGGGTTAAAAAAAAATATCTAGCATTTATATAATGCTTCAAGGTTTGTAAAGTGCTGTTCATGTTATCTCATGCAATCCTCCCAACAACCTGGGGAGGTAAGTGCTATTATTAACCCCATTTTACAGAAACAAAACTGAGGTGGACAGAGGTCAAATGGTTTGCCCAGGGTTACATAACTAGTAAGTATCTAGGAGGCAGAATTTGAATCCAAGCCATCCTTTCATGAAGTCACTCGACTATTCTGCCTCCTCAGTTCTTTTTATTGAACACCTCAGTAGCTGTAGAAAATCTCTTCAGTTATGAAACCCTCTCCTAGCACCTTCTTCCATCTTCCTGCCTCCAAGGTGCCAAGCTCACCTCCTACATGAGTGAGAATCTGCAGTAAAATTACTGCTCTCCCCAACTTCCACTCCGCAGGCCATAGAATCCTTTTACACATTCTCCTGCCCTGTCCTCCCTTCCTCCAGGCTCAGAGGACAGGTAAGGTGGCCCCAGTCTAACTCCTCTCCCGGTGGCTTCCAAGATCCTCTAGGACTGAGACTTTGAACCTAGGGCTCCAGGATGGATTTTAGAGGGGTCTGTGAACTGGGTGAGAAAAATGACATCTTTGTTTTGGTGACTTCTAAGTGAAATTGAGCATTTTCTTCAATTATTTAAAACCATTATTCTCCAAAGGGGTCCAGCGGCTTTGCCAAAGTGCCATAGGGGTACAAGAAACAGTAAGCATTTAAATGGCCACAATCTGTCAGGCACGGGGCTAAGTGCTTTACAATTATCTCATTTGAACTTCACAACACTGAGAGGTAGATGGTATTATCAGCTCCATTTTTCAGATGAGGAAACTGAAGGAAACATGAAGGAAACAGAGGTTGAGTGACTTGCCCAGGATCACAGAGATAGAAAGTAGCTGAGGCTAGATTTGAACTCAGGACTTTCTGACTCCAAGCCCAGGCCACAGCATGGTATCCATCGCATCATCAGTTCTCTCTCTCTGTCTCTCTCTCTGTCTCCTCTGTCTCTGTCTCTTTCTCTGTCTCTCTCTCCCTGGCCAACAGAAGGAGGGTAGTAGAATTAAGTGGGGTTGGGAAAGGCTTCCTGTAGAAAGTGGAATTTTAAGTTGAGACTTAAAGAAAGCTGGGGAAGGCAGGAGAAGATGAGGAAGTGAGTCAGCGCTCCGGGCATGGGGCACCGCCTGAGCTAATTCATGGGCTCTGGAACTGGAGGTTCTTGGGGGGGGAAGAGCAAGGAGACCAGTTGCTCTGGGTGGCAGAGGCCATGGGGGTGGGCTGGGATGGGGGACATAACAGATAAGACAACTAGAAGGATAGAAGGGGCCAGATTATGAAGGGCTTGGATTCCCTAACAAAGGATTTTCTATTTGATTCTGGAGGTTAAATAGAGAGCCCCTAGAGCTTATTGGACCACTCTGGAATTGGATTATGAAAGGGGGGAACATAATCAGACTTGAACTTTAGGAAAATCGCTGTAGTGGCTGAATGGAGGATGGGAGTGGGGAGAGATCTGAGGTAGGCAGATCCACCTGGAGCTATTGCGATGGTCTCGGGGTGAGGCGATGAAGGCCTGCACCCGGGGGTGGGGGGCCAGGGTCAATTTAACACACAAAAAGGTTGAGAATAGGTGTTTGCCTTGTCAGTCTCTCCTTACCAGCTCTTCAATTTCTGTTTATCTCCTGGTGCCTATGAACACACTACCCTAGCCTTAAAAAAACAAGACCAAACCCTCCCAATCTTTTCCTTGACCCAGCTGTCCCCTCAAACTGTGGGTCTCCTCTAGTGTTCAGTTCTGAGAAAGAGTAGTCTCAGCGTTCGTAGGTCGGCTAGTTTTGATAAAGAGTTTTGTTTGTTTGTTTGTTTGTTTTCACCTTTGCTACCAGGGCTGGCTTGCTATGTAGGAGAGGAGGAGAGATACACTGAGAAATGAAGGTGATGTAAAATGAAAAGGTAGAAGTCAAAGTGAGAATAGAAAGACAGAGCAGTAGATATCCCTGCGTGGATTCCTCATGCTCATTTTCTTCCCCCGGCCATCCGGCTTCCTGACAACCCCACGGAAAGGGCTCTTTCACATGTCACCAGTGATCTCCTGGGTGCTAAATCAGATGCTCTTTTCAAGTTCTCATCCTTCACTCTCTTGTGGCTTTTAAGTTATGTTCTTCTCCTGGGCACTCTCATTTCTCTGGCTTTGGCAATGCTGCCCTCTCCTGGTTCTCCTTTTATCTGTCTGAGCCATCCTCTTTCCCCTTTGCCGGATCCACTTATTTTGTGCCCCCTAAACATGGTGTACCACTGGTCACCACCCACTGCTTTCTCCTTCTTCCTTTCCTCTTCCTCCTCCTCCTCTTCTGCATCCTTCTCCTTCACCCTCTGCCATCCTCTTCCTCCCCCTCCTCCTCCTCACCAAAGCCAACCCATCTATATTAACTCACAATCACGTCATTCTTCCCTTTCTCCCAGTCTTTAATATTTCCTCATCTACTAGTTCCTTCCCCACTGCCCACAAACCCACCCACCCCCATCCTTAAAACCAAACCAAACCAAAGGCCTCCACACCCCATATTAGATCCTAAAATGCCTGCTGCCCATTGTCCTGTGTCTCCCTTCCCTTTCTCAGCCAGATTCCTTGAAGTCCATCTACACTTGGAGCCTCTGCTTCTAAACCTTCTACAATTGGGCATCCAAACCTTATCACTGACCCACCACCGCTCTTTCCAAAGTTACTAACAAAGTCTTACTTTCCACATTTAACTGCCTCTTCTCAATCCTCATCCTCCTTGACTTCTCTGTGGCTTTTGACGCCCCTGACCCCTCTCCTCCTGCAGATTCTCTCCTTTCTGGGCCGTCAGGAGCCTGCTCTCTCACATCTGACCACTCCTTGCTGTCTTCTGCTGATTCATCACCCAGGTCACGCCCCTGCCGTGGATAGTTCCAAGGTTCTCTCTGGGGACTTCACTTTTCCTCCTCCTGTTTCTCTCTTCACTCTGATGACTATGATGTCTTCAGTTTCCATAGTTTTGATTACTGCCTCCTACTTTCTTCTCACTTCTACCCCCTGGCCTGCCTGGCTTCCCTGAAAACAGCTCAAACCCCACATTCTGCAGGAGGCCTTTCTGGGTCCGCCCATATGGCCAATAACTTCCTTCAGAGATTTCCCTTCATTTACTCTGTCCTGGGCTTTTTTTATCTTTTTCTACATATATATGCCCTCACTCAGTGACTTCATCAGCTCCCATGGGGTTAATTATCATCTCTATGCAGATGACTCACATCTACATGGCCAGCTCTAACCTTCCTCCTGAGCTTCAGTCCCACATCACCACCTGCCTACTAGATATTGCAAACTGGATGACCCATAGATATATCTCAAACTTAATATGTCCCAAACAGAATTCGATACATTTTCT